TGTTGGATTTTCATTTTCCCAACATTCGCGAAACAGAAGTAGTCTGTAGAGCTGGTAGGATTTCTACGTTGGTACATATTCTACCTACGGTATTTCCTGTTTCGCGTTCGCGAATGTTGACCGTGTGGATTGGCCTAAATGAGTAATTTCAAATTTTTCCAAACATTTTTGCCTCTCTGACCCATTATTATTAGCAAAACCAACCGCACGTGGTGCACCATGTATGATACTACCACTATAACAGCACAGGGTGCAACGTCTATGTTACCTCTTTTCTGATAGGTGTTGATGTCGACTTTAGTCGTTCAAAGGCAAAAAGCTTGATCGCGGATTCGAACCACGGACCTCCTCATTACTAATGAGGTGCTCTAACCAACTGAGCTAAACAAGCTTTTCCTCGATTGTTGAAGTTATCATATATTATAATTTAACTCTGCTTTGTACAACTTAACGAGCATAATGATAGGACTAGCTAGTGCCAATAATAATAATAACACCAAGATCTCTTTTAAATGCGACACTAGTTATACTTTGTTGCTGATACTTGACGAATCAGAAGAATTTCAGGGTATTCCTTCATTCGATTCACCAATATTTCAACCATCGACGAAGTGTCTTGGGAGGTCCCCCCGACGAGACTAATGGCGAATTCCATTACAGCTTCATTCGTTCCGCCTCGAAGTCCGTACTGAAGGACATCGACATCGGTTGGTCTCGCGGACTCTTTCAGTAGTTCAATGGTGTGTCGGAGTACATCTTCCCGCGGTTGTGCTTCGATCCTCAATAGGATTGCACCTTCGTGTTGGTGTTTCTTGTCCAAAGACGAGATCGTGAGCCCGCCTAGAATAGACTGTATTCGTTCCACAACGACATGAGCTGTGGGTCGATCTCTGGGATTAATCGAAATCATGGAAACAAGCAAGCTGTGCAAACCGGGAAAGGCAGGCTTCATACAATTGTTCCATTGGTCTGGGAAACACTGATTTCGCAGCTGATTCATTACAATATACCGTTCCATTCCCTGGACATTGATCGAAAGAAAAGAGAAGTTAGCCGGTCGACTTGCAAATCTCCTTCAGCAACTTGAAATTTCTTCATTTACCGTATACATCGGATAGCAGAGTTCAAACAAAATGATACCCAGTGAATACACATCCGTGCTAGAGTCGTAATCAGAACCTTTCATTTGTTCTGGACTTGCATAGGAACGGGTACCAACACCTGCCGTAATGTCTCCTATCGCGCTAACATCATTCCCAAGATCAACAGTGTTGTCGTCTTCCTGCGTTTCCCCTGCTTCTCGACTTAGCCCAAAGTCTCCAACTTTGACGACTCCACTTTCGTCAATGAAACAGTTATTGGGCTTGAGATCTCTGTGAATCAATCCTTGAGTGTGAACGTGCTCAACTCCTTGGGCAATCTGGAGAAATAAGTTCAACGCATAGGGAATATCGACAGCATCAGAGATGGACGGCCCCTGTCGTGCATCTTTGTTTGTCAAGAAGTCTGCCAACGTCTTTTGACTGCAAAATTGCATCTGAATGTACAGGAGATGTTTGGTTGATAAGGACGGAGTGTCTTGACCATCAGTTTGTCCTTGCTTCCCGTTTGTACTAGATTTTTGCGCGGACGCGCTGTAGCCATTGGAGCATGATCTTGACTCCGATTCTTCAACGCTGCTGGCAATCGAAACCATTGAATGGTGACGTGAAAACATACCTTGCCTCGACGATTGTGAAGCGAATGACATTGGATATTGAACCAGAGCATTGTGATTGGTGCCTTCTGTTTGATCCTTGTCTTCATCCAGCCACTCGGAATTCTCCGCATCATTGTTTTCATGTACTTCTTCGTCACTTCGGTCGAAGGTAAATCCATAGTCCTCCAAACTTTTCGGGACACCTGGAATGTTGTGGCCAAAGGAGATCTCTTCGTCTTCCATCTTCCATCCACCCAAAGGATTGTAGTCCGCCATTCGTCGCACCTGCTCCATGCTTGGTCTTCTCCATGAGGTAACACGGTTTGTCAATGTTTTCGCCTCCGTCGTGGCACCCGCATTGGATCCCGAAAATAGGTAGTAGTCACTGACACCAGCCCCCCCATCGGTGCCTGTGTCGTCGCTATTGTTCCCAAGTTCGAGCCAGGCCGTGTAGTAGCGCACAATATTGGGATGGTCTAGCAGGGCCAAACTCTTGACCTCTCGCAGGGTTCGTTGGAGTCGTTGCTGGAACTGATGTTGCGAATGACTTGAATCACTCTTGAGAATTACTTTCTTGATGGCATACTCACGGCCATCCAAAACGTTTTGGCATTGAAAGACAGTCCCAAAGCCTCCTTTTCCCAACGCTGTAATCTCTGTGAATTCAGAATCGTATCGGCAATATCGAATCAACGGAATCCCATCCATCAAGAAACCCACCTCTTGCACTTGCTGAGATTGTGCTGGAGCAACTGGTTGCAACTCAACTCCAGCTGCCGGAACAATCGGTGCAGCTGCTTCTGGTACCGCTGGTTGACCATTTGGTCCCACGCCGTTGGGACTCAAGGGTTGCACCCAGGTCATGGATACATTGTGAACTTGTGGAGGGCCAGGGGGCGGTTGATCTTCTCCCGGCATGGAAAGTTGTTGACGAAGATTGATTGTGCGCTCTTTATGCATCAAGAACCGCATTGGGTTGCCTCCTGGCTTTTCTGGCTCCAGGATACCATGGGTGACATCCGTTGAGGTTGCAGTCACGGTCAATTCAGCATTGGCTTCAAAATCCTGATACCACTGTTTCTTTTGATGCTCGTACCATTTTTGAAACACTACTGCAGCAGAGCAAAGCAGAGCGAGAATCACTGGCCACTGCAAGAAGACACCTTCCGAACGGATATCATACTGTGGAAGCGTATAATCATCGGGACTCGGGAGCGCCAATTGATCTGGTCTGGGTGTAGTTGCGCTGATGGTTTCATCGTCAACTTCCCATCCCAGTAACTTGTTCATCGCATGCCTCCGTGATTGTAAATCATCTGGAATGGCAGGAAATGGAGATAGTAGCCTATTCTGCTCCTGCTGTTGTTTCAGATTGTATGGTTGTTCCTCGGCCAACTTGTAAAGAAAATCCAGGTGTTCCAAGTATCCTTCGTTTTGGACAAAGATTTCCTCCATGGAGGGTGGTCGATACAAGGTCATACCAGTCGCTCCTTCGGGAAGTGCTGCCGATTGCGAACCAGGCGATGATGTGGAAGAAGGATCCTCGGAGGTACCTTCCAAGACTGTCAGTGGCCTCCATGATTTTCCATTGAGTCCAAAGACGGATGCCACCACCGTTGTGAATTCTCTATTCCACAACGAGGTTCCATGAACTGGATCGACAGCCGTTAGTGTCATACCATCAGAACCAAATACAACACTGGGTAAATGGTCGTTGTTTTCTTCGTCATCATCGGGATGACGATTTGGCGTCGACGACAGAGACGAATCCAACAAAAAGTTGGAATTGGTATCCAATGGCTTGCGTCCCCCCGGCAAGAACATGTCGTCGCCATGTCCTCCACCTCTTCTTTCTTTACGAGAATTACAACCAAACTCGAGACCCTGAAAGGATCCCAAGGTAACATTCCATACAGACAATCCAGAATCGGTCGATATTTGTTGGACCATGATATCTTCCCGCTGCAATAGAACGGTGAATTTTGCTTGTTGCGGATGCTCCTCTCGATTATGGCGGTCTTGATCCGACGGTGGGTCATGTTGAATGGTTTCGCCATTTGGACTTTGATGCCAAACTAAGTTCCCCGATGCTGAATCAATGGCAAAAAGGGACGTCGATTTGGTAGCGGTCACAATCCCACACTCCTCTTGCTGAGGATTATTGGCATTGCAAGTCTTGACAGGATTGTGTAATACGTCCATGACAGTGATCCCCAAGGGTTGCAAGACATTTCCCGCCGTCGTGCCACCCCCACTGTCCTCACTTGGAGGTCCTCCATTGTCCCCTGGCATTCCATCATTATTATGATTATTGGAAGAAGCTTGTTGTTGTTGTTGTTGCTGAGGCAAGGCTGTGACATACAATCGTCCGTCCAAACCCGGAACAATGCGTCGTCCGCTAGGAAGGTGGGAGGAAGGCGATACCAAGGGCATTCCGGATCCAAATATTTGTACAGAAGTCCCCGTTTGGGCATCCAATACCATGACAGATCCATCAACAGTTGCTACCACCATGTAAGGCTGAGGTTGTGCTTGTGCGCCCCCTCTTTGCCACGGCATGGAGCTTGTGGTTGCGATGGAACCATCCGCAGCAATGTCTATTGATTTGGCTTCGGCAACTGATAAACAGCGCCCTTTTTTCGCATGGGTGGTGAGGATCACGATACTGAGCATCGTCCAAAGAGCAGTGAGTAGGACTGTTCCTCTCGTTCGCCGTCTCTGAAGCGCTGTGAAGGTCATTTTATGTATTTCTATTGTTTGGAGTGATTTGTATTGGTTTGTATATTGATGTTGCTGGAAGATAGACTGTAGTTTGTTGTCAAACTGAGACGCGTTTAAAAAAAATCTGATGACAACTGATTTCTTCAGGCAAACTTGGAATCAAAAAGCTCCAAGTTTTTATATAGACGTTTGCGCTGATTTCAAGGCTGTGTGCTTTTGTAGCTTCTTCAGTTGTATCCGTCGTGGATAAGCATACCAACAAGCAGACACACTTCAGAATGACAGATGTGTCCACGAATCAATCAAGACGTTATTCTTTGAATTTCAGAAGTTCAGCACAAACCAAGACACACACAAACGAGAATATAAAAAAAAAGGGCCACTTCCCAAGAGGATAATAATCTTGCTTTCACCACAAATTTAAAAAAAGAGAAAACGATTGCCGATGGTTGGGAACACAAGTTGGTGGGATTCAAATAAGGCCGATGATGATAATGATGTTGAAAACGGTCAAAAGATGTGTCTCCTGTTTTTAGGTGGATACGTGTTCGAGCTCCGTAGAATTCCTACCAGCTTTTCGGATTTGAAATGAAAGGGGGCGGGGTGGAGAAGTGGAAAAAAGCCAATCAACACACGTTGATTGATTGGTGAATTCTGAACTCGAATCATCCGACTTGACACGACACGACACTGTAAGACAAGGATGTTTCATTCCGGTAGGTAGTAGTATATTTCTTTTGCCATAAAAGCAATGACTAAAGACGATAACAATAACTTACACAACTATACCAACGCAAAAGTCCAGTCGGTTGAGTTTCTGACTTGCTCTGAAATCGAGTCGTCACCGTCGTTATTATCCAAGCAACAATCATTGCTCTTGCACAATCTTCAACATTATGGTTGGTCACCCATTTCCATTTTGGTTTCATCAGGCAATAAAAATAATAACGATACGACAAAAACGGGATGGATTCGTCCTCCTACCAAGGAGGCTGTTCTTCAAGTGATGAAGGAACAAGATCCAAACGACACCAACAGCAATGACTCTCGATTTACCTACCGCACTGCTGAAAGTGGCGGTGGCATTGCGGCCGAACCCAAGGAATCCTTGGAATTGAAACGATCGGATGTGGTACTGACACAGTACTCCTCCTCCTCATCATCATCATCTTTGGTGGACGAATGGTGCTGGGCCATGTCGGAAATTGCGCAATCCGTCACGCAGTTGTTGGAACTACCTTCGAATACATTACTAGCAGGACAAGAAGAACAAACGAAAGGCACAACCAGTGACAACAACTGCTTGGATTTGTTGCGAGTTTTTAGCTATCACGCAACACCGGATGGACCACAACTGGGGAGTTCTCCGCATACGGATTGGGGAAGTTGGACCATTGTATGGCAAGACGATGTGGGAGGTTTGGAGACCTACTCGCGAGAGCATCAGCAATGGGAACCCGTACCAACTGCAAAAAGCAACGTATCAGCAGCATCTTCGGCCAATGACACAACATGCACTGCTGCTGAAGCATATTATTGGCACTGCATTGTGCATGTGGGAGACATGGCAAGTCTGGCTTTAAGAAAGAACTCGTCGTCCACAACAACGGACAATACAGCGCCAGAATCACTACTCGTAGAGGCTCCAACTACTAGCAGTAGCAGTTATTATAACTACTACTGGCCATCACCAGAACATCGGGTCCAAACTTCCACCACCCAAAAGAGAGCTTCGCTGGTATACTTTGGATATCCACCAGCCAATACTTCGATTCGCACTATACGCCAACGATTGAAAGATTGGAAATCTTATTGTCGGGGATCGCCCTTGCCATTATCGGAGTATTACTTGTTGCAAAATCAATCATCATCACTATCATCCTCAATAGATGGAAAAGGAGCCACGGAGGGGCAATTGCAAGAATATTTTGAGAAACTTGAAACCCTTTCTATACAGGAGGTGATCAAAGAGAAATGGAAGCAGGTACAGAGAAACCATTGATACATACAGAACCAGTACTATACTATGGTAGACTACTGTCTGTACAATACAATACTGTAGCATATTGGTTTCAATTCGGTAGAGGACCAACTAGTCTATTTCACGGACATGTTCCACGTGGAACACAAAACTTCGAGGTCATTGACACCTGATGCACATCATCTCAACCGCAATATAACTCAGAACAATCAGAACTGATATCGTAGGAATGAGATTGGGGAAGATATCTATCCAAAGGAGCCCGAATCTGCTCCTTGTAATATTGTGCGCTTCCAATGCACTGGCTAGAACAACAAGTAATCCAGCATTCTTGCGTCCCAATGTTCCATCATCTTCGTTTGACACTTTTGAGGTGGTGAGCCTAGCAGCAATTTCCATGTGTACAAACTCTATTCCATTGTGCCTATTGGTACTTCGAGGTGGCGAACGATACCATGATGGTGGCGATGATGAAGAATACGATATTGATGGGGGGTACAGTGAAGAAGAGGATGATGAATACAATCAATTTTCCAAGCGTCGCCAATCGCCACCGCCTCCTGTATCGTCTCGAAGACCACCTGGATCACGTGGCCCACCACCAGCCAACTTATCCGGCCGTCCACGACGATCATCCAAAAAATCTATGCCATGGGCACAACGGATAGCCTCTCAATCTCTGCAAATGGGAAGCCAGCTGGCGTGGAATGCTGTAAAAACTCCTGGAAAATTGGCCTATCATGTGATTCGACCCAAGCATGTGGATTTAGCTGAGACAGGGGGGCTGTGGCGAATGGACCAACAAGTTACCATACGGGGAGATAAGGAACTTGCCAGTGTGGCAACTGTCGAGCTGGATGCTCGTCGAAAGTTGATCATTGTTCGACACCGACCAATTGCCAGCGAGGACAATAAGGCATCAGCAAAGGAAAATGACAAAGACAAACAAGGCGAAGACGATAAAGAGGCAAAAGAAGTTGTCGTTCGACAACCCTATACATTCAAAAAGTCTCGACTGGGTTCCTACAAGACTTCCTTCGTGGCGCCAGCCTTTTTGGTCGGTGACAAACCACGCATGTATGGGTACAAGGGAAACTGGCAACGCAAAATGGCCGATAAAAAGGTCATCAAATTGGTAGGAAAGATCTATGAGGTGCGACGACAACGGTTTGGAAAAGATCGCGGAAGTTACCAATTTGCTGGAAAGCCTGTCGGAACCTTTGTCGCTCGCAGACGAGTGCAATTGATAGAAGAGGACGAATATGATGACGATGACGATGACTATTTCGTAGATTTTGATGATGAAGCAGAGGATGATTACGACGAAGAAGATTACGACGAAGAGATGTACGACTAATGCCTTAGCTTCAAACCTGTAGTATTGCAATATTTTGATGACAACGGGTAAATGATTTGCATTGGTCTTCTTGCTGTTACAGACTCAGAGAATCCAGACACCGCCATTGTAAAGCGGCACTGGCACCAGATATTGCAACGGCTGGAACACCTTTGAAAAAAGAAGAAGACACTTCTGTCAGGCATCCAGTTTCACGATGGATTCATTCGCTGATAGCATTGAACTTACCAATTCCTGGAAAAATTCCATCACCCGCTGGCACAAAATTAGAAATTGGCGTACCGCCATCCTTCAAATAGTCTTCCGTGGCAGCACCATATGTTACCACAGTATTATTATATACCTATACACATCATCGCATCAACATATAAGCTGTAAGAGTTTCACGGCCATTTGCAGAAATTATTGAGAAACGACATGGAAAGCCTCGATGGACTACTGATCGAACAGCAACTCAACCAGCAACGAATGTTGGAATCTCCCTAGAAGTAAAATCTATCGGTCTTGCAATTGTGAGCTAAAATATTCCTTACTCTATTTTCTATTCGTGCTTCTCAGTCATACACAGCATCTGGTATCTTGCCATGACTGCATTCAACTCACTTCTCCTTATGTATTGATCTTGCTT